ATAAATAAAGGTTGAGATCTCCTCTTGTGAAGATTAGAGAGTTGAATAATAAAATTGAGATTTTCTCTCTTCCAGTTCATCTTTTCCTTGGTGCTTCAGTTTCACCATTTTTCATTCCTATTTTCATTCATCATTCAATACAGAAAGTTTCAGTAGCTGGTGCAAGAGAAATGAGGATACTGGAAAATGGCTAGTTGCTCTCTTTTGTATAATACAATGATAACTAGTTTAGTTAGTTATATTTGTCTTAATCATGTTGAGTTGTATTTTTTATGAGCCGACACTAGGAGGCAAAGGCACGTGCAGCACATTTTTTGGTTAGATAGATAGTTATTTTTTTTTAGAGTGTTATATTGCCACCACAATTTTTATTTGATACACTACATTTTAATTGTTGTTGGGCTCCTTAATCTTTGTTCATTGTAGCGTTCATTTCCTTAACCTTTCAATCGAATTCTTATCTTAAACCTTCCATTAATTAATACGTCTTGTCATTGATGATTATTTATATTAAAGTATTTTATTTTCATTTTTGAAATGAGTGAAAAATATTTTCGTACTAATTATTTATTTATTTCTTAAAAATATGATTATAAAATAATTTGTTTTACGATATATCAATGAAATTTTGGACATAGAACTATTATCAAATACAAAATATATTAATTAATGAAAAGTTTAAGTATACGAATGATATGAAAAATCGTTAGGGACATAAGTACTATAATGAGCAAAGATTAAGAACTTTAAGTGTAATTAAAATATGGTGTAAGAAATAAAAATTGTGATGTGAATATAAATTACCTTTTGTTTTATGTATATCTTGCCCTTTTTATCAGTGCTTTGTATTCCAATTTTCATTTAATAAGTGAAAGGTTGAAGATAAGAATATTTTTAGGAAATAAATAAATACAAATAATATAATTACCCTTTTTATTTAATTCTATCAATTCTTTTTAGAGCTCTCATTTTTTCCCTATTCTTCTCCATCTTCTACTTTGGATACTGCTGTATCATTTTTCTTATATGATAATGTTATTATACCAATGCTTTTTATAGCAACAAAAAATGACATTCTAACTTTTGTCTATTTTTGGGATAAATTCCGGTTCAATTATCAATTAAATATGCAAAAGCAACTTTTTTTTCCTTTTATAATAAAAATATATATGTATTTTTGATGGAATATAATCAAAATATTTTATTTAGTCTGTTTTAGGGATAAATTCTTGCTCAATTATCAATTGGCATATGCAAAAGCAACTTTTTTTTTTTTTAAACTTTATAATAAAAATATTTTCTTTACAAATAAAGAAACTTGGAGTAATTAAAACACACAAATAGTTAATATGTAATCGGATTTCTTGATCCAGTTAATTTTATTGAAATCCAGTGAGTAATATCATTTTTTATTAAAAAACAAGCTTATAAGCATTATCACTTTTGAGTCATTTAGTGACCGTTTGATTTGTTTTTCAATTTTCAATTTTCAGTTTTGAGTTTTGAATTTATTTTCAATCTTCTATTTTGAAAGTCTATTTTAAGAATATTAAAAATGCATTTGGTTTATCATTTTGAAAAATTACTTCTCAAAACAGAGAACTAGAAAACACGATTAGTGAATCTTACAATATTTTTTTCATTACAAAAGTAAAATAAAAATAAATATTAAATTGAGTTCAAATTATAGGAAATAAAAACGAAAATAGAGATGTGAATTAATAATATTTTTATCCGTGTTCACTTAAATACTTTTTTAGAATTTTTATGTAAATAATCATTAAAATCTTGAATACTATTTTTATTTTTTTTTAGAAATTTTTAGAATTTTAATTTTTTTACTTTCTAATTTTAGAATTTATTTTGAAGATTTTTAATTTTTTAAAAATTTTTAAAATTTATTTGTTAGAATTTTATATTTTTATTTTTTAAACTTTATTTAAAGAAAGTTTTATTTAAACGCTCGTTTTTCATGTTTTGAGTAGGAATGTCAATCTAGCTCTTCGACTTAGACGGCCTACGACTTGGCTCGTAAAAAGCTCGAGTCGGCTCAATGGAACCG